TATATATATATATATATATATATATATATATATATATATATATATATGTGTGTGTGTGTATTTGATTACTGTGTTGCAGTTTGTCTGGATAAGTAATTTATCTTTCTTGTAAGAAACAGTCTGAGTTCTCAGCTGAAACACTTTGAATCAGTGAGATGTGAAGATCAACTTGGCGTGCAGGCTGTGGGTTAGTTCTCCCTGCCGTGTGGCATCTTCTCTGTCGGTTCTGATGAGCTGTTTGCCCGGCAGGAGTTTGAAAAAGATGTGAGGGAGTTTAAGCTGAAGGTGGAAGATGCAGAGTGGCGACTGGGATCTGTCTTCTGTCAGGCTTTTGATGACGCCTCCGGAATGGAGCACACCTTCAAGGTCTGGGAACTCTTTCCTTTTTACATCAAAGAATAATTAAAGACGCTCACAGAGACAGGTACATGAGCGTCTTTTTGACTTGTTTGCAGGTTGTAGAGATGTTTGGCAGCCTGCTGGAGCGTCCACAGGTCGCCTCAGATGCTCAGAGCAGATTCATTTTGCTTTGGTCCATCTTTGACCAAGAACTGGACCACTGTAAAGTCCTCTTCAACAAACATATGGAAGCTGTAGATGAGCTGGGTAAGATTTCCCTTTTTTGTTTTTAATTTATTTGAAATTGTTTGAGAAAACACAGCTCCTCTGCATTTGGTGAACTATCACTTTACATCTGAATGTGAACGGGGTCTTCTTTCCTGTCATAAAAAAGGCTGAGGAGGAAGGAAATATGTTTAGGCTCAGTGAACAGTGAGATTTAATACAAAGCCTTAAGGATGTTATAAAAAAGTGGTGAAGGATTTGAACTTTGAGCGTTTTTAATTTTAAAACTTAATTAAAAAACTAGATCTTTGGGTTTTTGCTGACGTTAAATATCTTCTGTCTAATCAAAAGTGCATTTTCATCCTAAACTTTGGGATGTTTGTGTAACCAGAGAGAAACAACATTCAGTTAAAGCATTCCTATAGGCCCGTTAGTTTAAATAGGACTACTCGATTTTATGCCGCACCTTGAGGACAAGGTGACCAGACCCTGGAACAAAGAGTACTGTAATGTCCAGACTATAAGCCGCTACTTTTTTCACAAGTTTTGAACACCATGGCTTTATACAATGCTGTGTGTAGCAGCCCCCCAAGTCTTTAACAAGATTCAGCGCAGTCTCAACGGGTGTTTTCTAGGTTCTTTATTTTTTCTTCCGTCAGGATCACCATGATCACCGTGAAAACTAAAATATACAAACCTTTGAATCCTGCTGACAGTTGTTTTTCATCCATTAATTAGTGCACTGATTGCTGTCAGCTTTTATAAGGCTGACCCTTATTAGATATGGCATCCCGTGAGGTGAAAAAAAAAAAAAAACCTTATTGAAAACTTCAAATACAATGAAATTCAAACAATATTTACAACCAACACAGTCAAACAGGCAAACATATATAAACAATCTACACAGTTTGTGTAGATTGTTCCCTGGTAGGCTATTGTATATTTAAAAAAATATATACCATGTTAAAGGTACTATTCAGACAAAAACATCACTGTGCATCTATGTGTATTTTACTGGTATGTATTTAACTAAAGTAAAAAAAAAACTTTCTGCGCAAATATCTCATGCTACAATGTGGACACCTGTGGCTTATACACAAGTGTGGCCTATATATGTAAAAAATAAATAAATAAATTAGTGGGCACAGCTTATATTCAGGTGCGCTCAATAGTCCAGAAATTACAGTAGTTTTTCTAGGACAATGTAGATAGAGCATGTTAAATGCTAAAATATCATACAAAAGCATGCAAGTCCTCCAACAACAGAGAGAAAACAGCTTAAATGCAATGACTTTTTTTCCTAACAGACATTAAAGGCAGCAAGAATGGTGATTATTTGCACTTTACATCATTTGTTCTCAGTTTGATTGACAGGAAACTCAGCCCCCTTCACTTTTATTCTCTCATCACTGACATGATTTCAAGCCAAAATTTAAGTATACATGTTGTCATCAAGGGCAGCACGGTGGCGCAACTGGTAGAGCTGCTGCCTCTCAGCGAGCAGGTCCTTGGTTCAAACCCCGGTCCAGGGGCCTTCTGGGTGGAGTTTGCATGTTCTCTCCGTGCATGCGTGGGTTTTCTCCGGGTACTCCGGTTTCCTCCCACAGACCAAAAACATGCATGTTAGGCTGATTGGTAACTCTAAATTGTCCCTAGGTGTGAGTGAGAGAGTGAATGTTTGTTTGTCTCGTTTGTCTCTATGTGGCCCTGTGATGGACTTGCGACCCGTCCAGGGTGTACCCCGCCCCTCGCACAGTGATTGCTGGACATGGGCACCAGCGACCCCCGTGACCCAAAATGGAATAAACGGGTAAAGATAATGGATGGATGGATGGATGTTGTCATCAAGAAGCTCCTGTCCTGTCAGACAGAGTTCCCTTTTTAATACTAAAATGTGGGATATTGTAAGTGATGATTGTATTCTCAAGTTAGAACATATCAAAAAGGAATGAAACATTTTATAGTTAAAACAAGAAATTATGAACTTAAAGATGCATGTCAAAGTTTTCAGAGCTGTGAAAATAGTGGGAAGACCAAACTTACGGTACAAGAAATAAAACAAGTGTTTAGTTAAATTAATTTGTCAGACTTCTGTGACTCTCTGCTGTGACCTGCTCAGACTCAGCACCGGTCAATAAGAACATGCCTGTTGTAGCTGGGGGACTGAAATGGGCTCGTGAGCTGCAGCAGCGCATCGAGACCCCCTTCTCCAAACTCAGACACCTCTCCTACCCGTGAGTCTCCCCCTCTCAGTTTCAGAAAGAGATTAGATGTTTTTGTAATTTTCCTGTGTGAAAAGTGTTAAAAACTTTGGGCTGGTTGTAACTTTTCGTCTTCTTCCTGCAGCTGTCTGGAGTCTGCAGGCAGAATCGGGGTCATCCAGAAGTATGAGGAGATGATGCAACTGTTGGACATGTGAGTGTAGATACGATCTCACCTCTGCTGTTACACCGTGTGTCATCAGATCTGTGGTAGTGAATAAAAGAACAGGAAGGTGGTGAAAGAACAGGGATGGAAGAAGACTTCCCCATAGTAGACTGCAAAAAATTATATATAAAACATTTTTAAATAAATATTATCTGACATTTATTATTTATTGTTATGAAAGAAAAAATATATTTTAGTTAAAGGGTTGTTAAAAAAACTTGATTTATTAAAAATGATCCAGTCTCTGTCAGACTAAAATTATTCAAATCTGACCTTAATTCTTCTCAATAACTGTTAGAGTAGGAGGCTGCAGTCCAGGCCCGGAGTGGCTAATCGGGAGGACCGAGACATTTCACGGTGGACCAGTCTGATGCGGGGCCACAGGGCCGGCGCTCCCTAGGTATTTTTTAGGACTTTTTATTAACATAAAAACACAAAACACCACTACCGCTGGACCAGGGCTGCCCTGCCTCCACCCAGGGCTGCCCCGCCCACACCCAGGGCTGCCCCGCCTCCATCCAGGGCTGCCCCGCCTCCAACCCAGGGCCTCCACTGGCAGCTCTCGTTTTTTTTTTTTTTTTTTCACAAGTCAGATCCTCTACACCACCTGTCAATCAATCCAGCAGGCATGTCAGCAACTGACCAATCGGCGACCTCAGTTTGTCCCGAAGGTAAACGCCCCTTACCTGCAGGTACTGCAACCCGGTTTCCCTCCAACAACATGCTAGAATTCTAGAAATTCATTCAAGCTTTATTTATCCAGGTTAGTCTCATTGAGTCACGAGGACTCATTTACAAGAGAGACCTGTTTTAGAAAAACAACACATACAGTACAGACAATACAATTCAACAAAAAGGAATTAAAATCAAATAGAATAAGTTATATAAAAAAGTCAAATCAAGACAAGCTAAAACACTAAAAACAAGAATATATTTGCTTTGATATTTTCTTGTTTTTAATATTTTACGTTTTATATTTTCAGGGTTTTGCTTGACGGATGCTATGCAATCAGAGGGATTTTGTGAACGGGGAAAAAATGATTAAATGTTTTCAGTAGGGAACATGTAATTCAAATACTTTACACTGAGTGTTTAGAGGATAGAATACAGCAAAGTTAAGTCAGGTTACATGGACGGTTTCTTTTTTGTTGAAACGTTTTGTCCATCATCCAAAGGATTTCATCAGTCTGAGGAGCCACAACAACTCAGTCCCACATGCAGCACACTCACATACTGGACCAACCAGTTTGCTGGTGATAAGATGGTTTCTGGAGTCCACCCTCTCCCCCATCAACTGCTCTGATGCAGCCATGGCCAAAGAGATTCAAAACCTCAAAGTTCATGCTCAATAATCCAGTTTGTTGTAAACATCTTTCCCAGTATTTCAGAAGGAGCTCATGATTTACAGTCAAAACCTTCAATGAAATCGATAAAGTCAATGTGTAACTTTAGTTGCTGCTTCCTGCTCATCTTCATAATTTGATGCAAAGTGAAGTTGCTATCAGTGGTGCTTCTGTTTCTTCAGTATCCTGACTGGAATATGGGATATACAGTATGTATCATGTATATATATTGGAATGCATGGTGCCCTTGTCCAGCAGTCACTATGGTCCATGACCGAAAAGGAAGAAGTGGGTAAAAAGAATGGATAGAAAACTAGAAATCATAGTTTCCTGAAATGATTGGGGTGACCGGTTTACATATTTATGTGGTGATGGCCATTTTGGATTTTGACGTGGCAACCTAATTTTTGATAAAGGACCTTTTTGTATACCTAGATGTAACTACACACCAAATAGAAGTTGGTATCTCACAATGACGGACAGATGGAGGGTATTTCCAGTTTCCCCTCTTTCCTTTACAACGGGGACAAATGAAACTCGTGTTTTCTAGGTGGTGGTGGGGGGGGGGGGGGGTTTAATTCCTTCAAAGAATATTTTTTTGTGTGCTTTCATGTTTTCATTTGTCTTAAATCTAAATATGATTTTGTATTTAAGACTTGGAGCTGCAAACCACAATTAACTAATCACTTTATTTGTCCAAGAAAAACGTAATTTTTTCAACAAAGATGGATGAAATTTTGGCATATTTTTTCTTCAGCCCACAGGTTGTATCTTTTACGCAAAGTAAAAATGACCGTTTGATCTGCAAAGCAAGAGAGCAATAAAACAAATAAATGGAGTGAATTTAAATAATTTGTCTATAGTTTATGATAAATAAAACCAAACTCTTTGATACTATTCATATTAATATATGCCTACTCTCATTTCATCCCAGACAGGCACCTATATTTTAAAGCTTCCCAGTCCTAGTATACTGCTTCACTTTGTGTCCCCTAACCACAGTAATGGGATGATGAACAACTCTATACTCAATTTACTCCCATCAGAAATCAGAGCTTTTCTTACTCAGTAATAATCGTCTCACTTGCCTCCAATGAATGTCACACCTATTATACATATTCTATTTAGGAGCAGGGCGCGCGTCCTCACTTATTACCCCCACAGACAAAATGCAGCATGATTTATGGCCGTGACCGAGGCGTTTGATTGCCTCTGCGTCTGCGGTGCCACCATCAGGAAATGAAGCTCACAGTAGAAATCCAATAAGGAGCACACAGAGTTCTAATCATAAATGTTGCTATTTACAGATTGATATAGCTGTACAGAACCCTGACATCTTGTCTGTTTGCCGCATCCTGTAGATGAATCAGCATTTATCCTCGTATTACCCCCCCACGCCTCCGTCGAACACTCCTTCACCCTGCTCCCTCTGCCCTTATTGTTCGTTAGACAGGGACAAGCAAATCACGCCTCTCATTCTGTTTGCGCTCTCAGAGGACTGGGAAAATGGCTCAATCATACGCCTTTAAGCAGCTTGTTTTCTTGCTTATGTTAATTTCCACAGTGTGAGCAGTTTTTGTGCCTGTGGCCCTGTGAAATAAAACTTTGAGCCTTTTTAATGAGAATATAAAACTATGTTGATAGTGCAAATTGTTTGTGTGTGTGTGTGTGTGTGTGTGTATGAGAATAACTTTAGTTGGACTGTGATTTGAGATTTTCTGCCTTGTGTTTGGTATTCCAGATACTCTGAAAGCTTGTTTAAGACATGGACAGAGACAGTGGACGAAAGTTTACAGCACAACCTCAGTTTGCCGTTAATCAACAGAGAATTGGACTCTCATCTGATGTCAGTCAACTTCAGCCCACAGGTTGTACCTTAATCTGAAGGATGTTCTATTTGTTTCAATGATCTGTCTGTCTATCTATGTATATATTCATTTAGAGAAGGGACGGGAAGCCTAAGATTGTCATCATTCTATGTTCCCATTCAATGTCAAAGTTAGTTCTTTGCATTTAACCCATTGCACCTGGGATGCACCCAGGTGGAGCAGTGAGCAGCTATGTAGATGTCCGGGGAACAATTAGAGATTGGGTGTCTAGCTCAGTGACACCACAACATGTGGGAATGGCTGGGGATCGAAGCTGGGACTTCCCGGTCTCAGGTCTGCTGTCCTACCTCTACCCCATCTCGGCCCCGAGATGTATGAGATGGTATCTATCTATTCATCTATCAACTCGTCCATTTGTCTGTCTGTTCATCCATCCGTCAATCTATCCATCTATCAATCTGTCTGTGTGTGTGTTTATGTCTTTACTGTATATATATATATATATATATATATATATATATATATACATACTGAACACTGAACAGCAGCACGAACATAAGTCTGTGTGAGCAGATGAGTACGAATGAACAAAGCAGCATGAAACAAATAAGCAGCATGATGTGATTTTTTTTCACAGTGATTATCCTGGTTAGTCTACTTTGTAACAGCTTCAGGGTAGAGTTGCACTCGGGTCCAAATAATTCGAACCAACCCGGCCCCAGCTCATAGCCATCATCTCCAAACTCCACCCAATCTGACGAATTAACAGTAATTACAGGTCCGATCCCGGAAAAAAAAACAGGCATTTTTAATTAAACTTTGATTGCTTATACCACCGACAATTTTTAATGGTTGGCAGATGTGCGTGGCTGAGGGGGCAGAAAATCAGAGCTGAAGAACTGTCAAAGTGCACTAAATGCTTACTCTGCGTCTGCCTGCATCCTGCTCTCACATGTCTGATATTTTGTTATCTCACCTGTTTGGGTCTCGGCTGCATGCGTCCACTGAGTGCAGTGGCTGAATGAACGTCCATTTGGGCTGATGGATCGCTGGCGGAGGAGTGGGGCAAAAAGTGTGTGTGCTGGGTGAGTGGGGTCCTTCATGATGCAAGTGGCCCTCTTCCTGCATCTGGAGATGTAGATGTCTGTGATGGCGGGGAGACTGACTCCAACAGTCTTCTGTGCAGCCTTCACCACTCTCTGTAGAGCTTTTCTTTCTGCAGCTGTGCAGCCTCCATGCCACACATTGATGCTGGCGCACAGGATGCTCTGCACTGCACACATGTAGAAGGAGGTGAGGACTGAGCTTTCCAGACCAGCTCGTCTCAGCCACCTGAGGAAGTAGAGTCTCTGATTAGCTTTCTTGATCAGGCTGGTGGTGTGGTTGCTCCAGCTGAGGTTGTCAATCAGGTGCACACCCAAGTACTTGTAGCTGGAGACCACTTCCACTGCAGATCTTCCTATGTTCATGGGTGGGGGCTGGGGGAGTCTTTGTTCCATCTGAAGTCTACGACCATCCCCTTATTCTTCTTCACATTGGTGTGAAGGTTGTTCTTCCTGCACCAGCTCTCCAGGTGTTCCCCCTCCTGCCTGTAGCTGGACTCATCGTTGTTCGTGATGCATCCCACCACCGCTGTATCATTTGCAAACTTTGCAATATGACAGCCTAGATGGGTAGGTGCACATTCATACGTGAGCAGAGTGAACAGGAGGGGGCTCAGCACACAGCCCTGAGGGGAGCCTGTGCTGAGGGTTATGGTGGAGGAAGAGAAGTTGTGGATCCTCACAGACTTCGGTGAACTTTTCTTTTTTTTTCAAATAGGCTTGAATGTTATATATATTTTTTATTTTATTATATTTGAAATGATCAAACCCATTGCTTATTTTCCAGAAGATTGGTTTTGTTTTTCTTGTTGTTGTATTTAACACGTGTCTTATGAACATTCTCTCAGCTGGCATCTGTGCTCAGGGAGGTGAAGTATCTCGAGGGAGTATACTCTGAGGCCATCCCAGAGACTGCTCTGAAGATCTACACCATCAGAGATCAGCTGCAGCAGTATGTGGCCAACCTGGATCTCACTGCGGTCCAATACAACAAGGTTGGTTCAGATCAGGACCTGTGGTGACATCTGTATACCAGGTTAAAATAAGACTGCTGTTTTACAACACTGCCATTAGCGCTTTATTGACTCCAGGTCTTTTTGTACCTGTACCAAATTACACATTTGCAGTTTAAGTTAATTTGTTCCTATATTTTTGGCTACAAACAGCCATTTGTCATCGGTTATTCAACTCGGCCCATTTTGTATCCACTTTGGCCTATCAGCTTCAGACAGTCTAACTCAAGATGGCTGCCACAATAATTCACCTTAGCCTTCACAATACTTGGCTCTGTTATGTTCAGCCACATATCTTCTTCTATCAGCTTTTCCCTCTTCATGGGATCACCACAGCAAGTCCTCCTTCTCCATCTCCTCTGTCTTTTTCATGGCAGCTGCATTTCTAACATCCTTCTACCAATATACCCACTGTACCTCCTCTGGACATGACCAAACCACTGTCCCTCTTCCTGACATGTCCAAACCATCTCAGTGTGTCCTCTCTAACTTTATCTCCCAGTTGTTCAACCTGTGCTGTACCTAAGATGATCTTATTCCTAATCTTATTCATCCTTGACACTCCTAAGGAGAACCTCAACATCTTCATTTATACTGCTTCCATTTCATTCTCCTGTCTTTTTGTCCATGTCTCTGTCTCCAGTCCATGCAATGAACTGTAGTTGCTCTCACAATTTTCTTGTAAACTTTTCCTTTGACCTTTACTGACACCCTTTTGTTGCAAATCACTTTTGAAATGTTTCTCCATTTGCTCCATCCTGCGTGGACTCTCGTTTCCACCTTGTTACCACACTCCCCATTTGCCTGTTCAGTGGACTCCAAGTACTTAAAGTCCAGCACCTTTGTGACTTCTGCTCCTTGTAGCCAAGTGCATACCTCCACCTCTCCAAGTTCTCTTGTACCTGTTCCCCGTTTTCACCACAGATCACAATGTCGTCTGCAAAAATCATAGTCCACAGGGATTCAGGCCTGACCACATCTGTTAGTCGGTCCATCACCAGAGCAAACAAGAAGGGGCTCAGAGCTGATTCTTGATGCATTCCCACTTCTACCTTGTTTTTCAGTTCAGTTCAATTCAGTTTATTTACATGGTGCCAAGTCACAAAATAAATCATCTCAGGGTACTGCACAGAAACATTCATGTACTTTATATTAAAAGTAAGTTAACGTTTATCTGAGGAACAGACTGCTTTGAGTTTAACTTCATCGTATACTCTCATCTTGAGCAAGCATGAAGGCAATAGTGGAAAAGAAAATAATCCGTCATGAGGGAGTGTTCATCTACAGGAGAAACCTCTTGTCCTGTTGAGCTCTCTGAATTGTCAAAATAATAGCTTCATCCAAACCATCCACGTCTGCTAGATCCCATCCCAACAAGATTATTTAAAGAGGTATTTCCCTCAATTAATAGCCACATTTTGGATCTGTTTAATTTATCTCTAATAAATGGTTACATACCACAATTAAAAATCTTCCTTCTAAACTACAAAGCTCTCAACAGCATAGCTCCATCTTGGATTAGAGTTCTTATTGTTCCATAATTTCCTAACATAGTAATTTGCTTTCAGACAGCAGGCTTATTTGTGGTTCCTAGAGTTTCCAAAAGCAGAATGGGAGGAAGATCTTTAAGTTATCAGGTCCTCTCTTGTGGAACCAACTTCCAGTTTCTGTCCGTGAGGCTGACACATTATCCAGTTTTAAGCCTTGGCTTAAAACTTTCCTTTTGGATAAATCCTATAATGGAGTTGGCTTGTTATGCTGCCATAGACTTAAACTACTGGAAGACAAACTGTCCACATTTCCTAAAAACAATTTAAAAAATTGAATAGTTTTCATTTGATATTATTTCTATTTTAACGTGTGATTCTCGACCTGCCATTGTATATCTGTTCCTTTTTCATGTTCCTCTCAGACCCAGCTGGTTGAAGCAGATGGCTGCTTATCTGTCACTCCTACAGCACATCTCACCATTATCCTGCTGTCCTCCTACATGTCCTGTCTAACATACTTCTCTGCCACTCCAGATTTCCTCAATACCATTAATACCGCAATACCACACCTCATCCCTCGGCACACTGTCCTATGCTTTTTCTAAATCCACAAAGACACAATGGAGTTCTTTATGACCCTCTCTATACATCTCCATCAGCATCCTCAAAACAAAGTTGGCATCTGTTGTGCTCTTTCTAGGCATGAAACCATACTGCTGCTTACAATAGTCACCTCTCATCCAAGTCTTGCTTCCACAACTCTCTCCCAGATCTTCATTGTGTGACTCATCAACTTAATTCCCCTGTAGTTGCTACAACTCTGTACATCACCCTTCTTCTTAAAAATGGGCATCAGCACACTTCTTCTCAATTCTTCAGGCATTTTCTCACCCTCAACTATGATATTGACTATTTGAGTCAAAAACCTAACTGCCATTTCTCCAAGATATTTCCAAACCTCCACTAGTATGTCATCAGGTCCTAAAGCCTTCTCATTATTCATTCTTTACAGAGCTGTCCAGTCTTCATCCTCACTAATCTTTCCCGCTTCCTGGTCCACAGCTTCTATGAACTCTACTCCTCTTTCTCTTTCATTTTCTTCATTCATTAGCTCCTCAAAGTACTCATTCCATCTTCTCATCACACTCTCATTTGTTAAAACATTACCATTCCCCTCTTTAACAAGCCTAACCTGTTGCACATCCTTTCCAGCCTGATCCCTCTGATCAGCCATATATACTGAGCACAAATTTGGGGTAATGGTAGGATTTATAAAAGAAGTAAGAGGCAGCATGGTGGGCTGACGTTATCCTGATGCTGTTATGCCTTTGAACTGCGGTGCGAGGTAGTAACAGCTGTAACAGATGATACAGTTTATAAAATGATATGTCAGCATTGCTGCTCGAGGATGTTACTGTAGAAGATGTCCAACATCCATTTAATGTATATCACTCCACTTCAACCCTGCTGCTTTCTTTGTTTTCCACTCTATTAATGAAATCTCACATCATCATGTTTTTTATCTGTTCTGATTGATGTATTTAATTTATTATTAATAATTTACTAATTTATTATTAATAATTATTGAATAATTTATCTGGTTTGATTTGAACAGTCAGAAGTAGCTAAAAGACAGGATCATTTTTGAGACCAAATATAGGCCTGTTTTGTGAAAGGAGCCTATGTGATCACATGAAATGAACGACATAGATTCAAGTACCAGTGCACTTTAAACAGGGCACAATATAGGTCACAAAACTGAATATACAATTCATGTCTGCTGAGAATATGGGAGGCTCCAGGTTTACAGTGTATATTGTACATATGTGGAACACCCTTTACTGACCAAAGAGGGAAAACAGCAGAATGCATCTTTGATCATGTTTAATTGTTCTATAAATGTTAACATGTCACACAGATTTGGTCACTTTGTGCAAAAATAAACATTGTAGCTGTGTGTTCAACAGCTGTTGTTTTGTACTACTGTTATGATTGTTGGCTTCTGGGTTTGATTCCTGAATTTTGCTGAGAGAGATGAACTCTCATCATTTAAAAGATGAAATTTATACTCAGAATCAGCCTTTCTTTACCCAGATACCATTAATCTTTCGATTATTTGTATTGAGAACTGATCAAAGTCAAAAATAAACTACAGACGAATGCATAAGGAATCATTAATGTATTTAACTCAGTCAAGCAGAGGAAAACTCCTGTTATCCTCAACCACATCATCTTAATTAAGGGGATTCATAAATTGAAAACACAGCACTTTACTGTTTCCATCTGCAAACATTTACATATATCTAATGCAGTTCAATGCTCAGGCAACATGGAACAATGATGAAAACTTAGTTAAAGATGACTCCCATAACGCTTTAAAATCCCACAGTGGCATTTAGTGGCGCAGATATTAAAACAATGTTTGGCCCCACCAAGAAGGAAATGAAAGTCACATCACCATTCTTGATTTTTTCACACATTCTGTTTGATTGCAGGTGATGCACACTTTGCTGGATGTGGAGCGTCATCTGGTCCAGGACCAGCTCAAGAACATTGATGCTCAGCTTAGACAGGCAGAAGAGAGTCTGAACTGGAACAGCCAAGGTCTGGACAATACTGTATTTGTAACAAATCTTTTTCTTGTTTTTCTTCTTTCTGCTTTTCCATCTTCAGCACTTGATTGAATCTACAAACCATCTTCAGGGGTCACCACAGAGAGTCATCTTCCTCCATCTCACTCTGTCCTCTGCATCCTATGTCCTCACTCCAACTACATCTATGTCCTCTAACTGCATCCATATATCCCTTCTTTGGTCTTCCTCTTTGTTTTTATCCTGGCAGCTTCATTTCTAACATCCTTCTACCAATATACCCACTGTCCCTCCTCTGGATATGTCTAAACCACTGTCCCTCCTCTGGACATGTCCAACCACTGTCCCTCCTCTGGACATGTCCAAACCATTGCCCCTTTCTTGACATGTCCATACTATCTCAATCTGGCCTCGCTAACTTTATCTCCCAGTTGTTCAACCTGTGCTGTACCTCTGATGATCTCATTCCTAATCTTATCCATCCTTGTCACTCCTAAGGAGAACCTCAACATCTTCATTTCTGCTACTTCCAGTTCTTTCTCCTGTCTTTTTGTCCATGTCTCTGTCTCCAGACCATACAACATAGCTGGTCTCACCACTGTCTTGAAAACTTTTCCTTTGGCCATTGTTGCCATTCTTTTGTCGTAAATCACTCCTGTAACGTTTCTCCATACAATCCATCCTGCTGGCCATTTTTTTTTTACCTTTTTCCCACAATATTTGTAAAAAATGCAACATCTAAAACAAAAATGCCTCATTTTTAATTGTGGCATGTCTAGCAGAAGATTTTTCTCAATTATTCTAGTTGTGTTAAGGCACGCATAAGTCTTCTCTGTCCTTTCTACACCATCATACAAAGCAGATACACTGTCCAATAATGAGTCAATTTCTTGTGGTACTTCAAGCATAAAAAATTACAATTTGAAAGTAAAGTCTTTACCATCAATGTCACAGTGACTAATTTAACCTTGGCTTAAAAAACTGATTAATGTTACCTCACTGGAGTGAAGGGAACTGATTTTTATGTGTAGTAAGTTACCAAATTCATCCAGCCATCCATCATCTTTACCCACTTCTTCCTTTTTGGGTTGTGGTGGTCACTGGTGCCCATATCCAACAGTCATTGTGTGAGAGGCCTGGGACACATGGATGAGTCTCCAGTCTATCAGGGACACCTGGACAGGTCTCCAGTCCATCACAGGGACACCTGGACAGGTCTCCAGTTCATCACAGGGAATCATAGAGACAAACAAGACAAACAACCATTCACTCTCTCACTCTCACTTAGGGACAATTTAGAGTTACCAGTCAGTCTAACATGCATGTTTTTGGTCTGTGGGGAAAAAAAACTGGAGTACCAGGAGAAAACCCACGCAGCACTGAGAGAAAACTCCACCCAGAAAGGCCCCCTGTCGGGATTTGAACCGGGGGCGACCTTCTTGCTGAGAGGCGGCAGCTCTACCAACAGCTCCGCCATGCTGCCACACCAAATAATTAAATTACAGTATACATTAGTTGGACTCACTTCCACTCACTGTTTGGGCTCTGTAACCTCCTAAAGACCAGCTGGACACTCTCTTACTACAGAGTTAACCAATAAAAAAGGTGTTTGCTGGAATTAAAAATGCAAAGACCAGGCTGAGTGCTTCCATGAGTGCTCCGTGATCGAAAGGACAATCGTTTTATGATGTTGAGCTGTGGGAAGGAAGGTTTTCTTTGTGCTTCTGCAACAAAACAATATCCCAGACCACCAAGCTCTCTTTGATTATCTGAATGGTCTTGGATTGTCATTCTATTGTTCTCTTGGGGAACTTCATTGTCTAAGCGGGCAACAATAGTTTTCTGGAGGGAAAGGATCGGGATGGAAGACTTCCTCAATCTAAAACCAAGTAATAATTTGGTATTGGACTTATCTGCTAGGCACAGGATTTTTAAAACACCATATAAACACCAAACAATAACCATATCCACCCTAACATGATTCATAAGTACACTTATGGAGGCCACCATGGGCCACCATTCAGTGATTGATTTTGTAATTATATCATCAGACCAGTGACCCTAGGGTTTTGTTTCAGGTAAAGGGAGGGGCAGAACTGTTACCTAATCACCACCTGGTGGTGTGCTGGATCCAGTGGCAGGGCAGGTTGGTTGAAATACCCAGAAAACCCAAACAAATAGAGTGATTGGGATGGTTTGTGGGCAGCACGGTGGCGCAACTGGTAGAGCTGCTGCCTCTCAGCAAGCAGGTCCTTGGTTCAAACCCCAGTCCAGGGGCCTTTCTTGGTGGAGTTTGCATGTTCTCTCCGTGCGTGCGTGGGTTTTCTCCGGGTACTCCGGTTTCCTCCCACAGACCAAAAACATGCATGTTAGGCTGATTGGTAACTCTAAATTGTCCCTAGGTGTGAGTGAGAGAGTGAATGGTTGTTTGTCTCGTTTGTCTCTATGTGGCCCTGTGATGGACTTGCGACCTGTCCAGGGTGTACCCCGCCCCACGCACAGTGATTGCTGGACATGGGCACCAGCGACCCCTGTGACCCAAGGTGGAATAAACGGGTAAAGATAATGGATGGATGGATGGATGGATGGATAGATGGATGGATGGATGGATGGATGGGATGGTTTGTTAGAGGCCTCTGTTTGTGAGATCTACCGTTCACACATTCAGTAGAGTTTTTCACTTGTCTCAGCGGAGTCGGTGACATGTAATAAAACGGGTCACGTTTACGGCCTTTACTACAAATATAGCAATGAAAAATTGTTGTCAGAAGCTTGCTTATTCTCGCTGTGGTGGCAACAAACATATCTGTTGGTGGACAACAGTAATGATGAAAGCTGTAAACTGAAGAAAGTGGGCTTAAGAGCTTGGTTGTCCCGAAGGAACCATGAAGCAGCAGATGGGCAGAAAGTCACTGGATGAACCACAGTTTTCTAAGGTTTCAGATTCAATAACTTGTGTGGGAGGAATTCACAGAACCCACAGAGTATCTGATTGTTCCTGAGAAGATTCTGTCAAACAGTTTAATAATCTTTTAAGATCTTAAACAGTTTGAAAAGCAGAATGTTCTTGGTTTGGATGAGGAACTATGGACATGGACAGGAATATTGCTAAGCAGTGGAAAGAGAACTTTGAGGATCTTAACCAGGTCAACATGGACACAGTGAGGCGAGTTGACTATCTGGACAGAACACTGAGGTAGGTCGTGGCTGAAACACCACTTCCTTGTTAAATAAAGGATGGACAGCTGTGGAGTGGCAGACTAAGATTGTAGTCCTAATTTTTATTTTTAAAAAAGGAAACTGAAGAGTGTGTTCCAACAATCAGGGATCACATGTAGCCTCCCAAAGAAGCCATCACCTGTTTGTTTTTCTGGATCTGGAAATTTGTTGGTATTTTCACCCCATTATCTTCTGCCAACTTGAAGGGTCCTCCCACTCTGATTATAATTTAATGTTATTTTTTGCTTATTTGAAATTTCAAACAATGCATTTTAATTAACAATAGGTGCTGAAGTGAGCAGAAAAGGTAGGCAGACCTGGTTTGTACAGAGTCATAAATGATCTTATGTTTGTGTTTTAAATTACCGAAATATCTAAAGATGGTCAGGCACAGAATAAACTTCTTCTAAACTAATAACCATATTTAAAGATTTAGAGTATTTTAAACATTTTTGACTTCTCTGCCTCACACTTCTTTCAGGGATTTGGCAGTATATCCAGGAAGTGCGAGACTCTGTGTGTGACTTGGAGAACCGACTCCAGAGGATCAAGGATAATGTTGAGGCGATCCAGAGCTGCATGAGGTCTTGGGTCATCCCCATGTTCGATAGGAAGGAGAATAAAAAAGACGCCCTGCTGAGCCTGGAGGACAGGACTGAAAGGGTTGATAAATTTTACAGTTTGGTACGCTCCTCTGGAGAAAAGATTCACTTCCTCCTTAAGGTATATTCTCAAAGATTGACGTATTAAATTCACTTCAAATTCAAATTACTGTTAATCTTTTCAAAGAGTATTTTAATGTAATTTTAAATGCACTGAAGGTGGTGATACTATTTAATTGTTTCTCTGTGTTTTAGACAAACCAGTCAATGTTTAACGCTGAGCCTTCCTCAGAGGAGTGGAAGGCCTATGTGGAGTATATTGACAACATGATTATAGATGGCTTCTTCAACAGCATTGAATGTTCACTCAAGTTCTTTTTGGACAACACTGGTAGGATAAAATGAATGATGAATAAACAATGCACCCGAGAGAAATCTAAAAAAGCGACAAATTAATTTGTTATTTGTGTCTTGGAATTAGAGGTTATTATTGTTTTTGTCACAAAGCCATGATATTGCTGCCAACCCAAATAATATCAGAAGATTCAGAGCCACTTGGCTTCTTTCATTCACCACTGAGTTGGACAGCTACTTAGAGGAATTTCATGTAAATTGGGTATGAGCCTAGTTGGCTGGAGACTGGAAACTTGTGGACTTGTGGCTGGCATGTTTTATCAGCCTGCTTCAATGGATAGAAATGTAGTTCAAGATTATGTGAAACATTTCCAAACTGCTGCTATGTGTAATCATTCTTTTCGTTAATCCCGTTTATTCTATTGCTGCAATTTTCTTTCTCAATAAGAAGTCTTTCAAGTAAAAACTTTGGTGCAAATTTTATAACAAATTTGGTTTCTAAACAATGATCAAATAAACACATCTTTCTGTCGGACATGTAAATTTATGTAACTATCATATTTCAAAGGTATTTTATAGTTTACGGCAACAATCCTGCATTTCAAGCATCTGCACGATGCCCTGCATCTTTTTGGGGTTAAACAATTCCACAGTTTAAACTAGTGGTAAATGCACTTCCTGAGGTGTTTGCTAAGAAAACATAAGTAAAAGGATTGCTGCTTTTTAAAGTTAATCAAATTAAATAAAATGTCAGATAAATTTTTATTTAATGCCGATGCTGATTATTAATATCTAGAGTTATACAGCTTGATAATGATACATATTCGACAGAACATGAGGTTAAAGTTGACCGGACAATCCCTTTAAAACAGGGACGTCCAATCTTGAGGGCCACTATCCTGCATGTTTTAGATGTTTCTCTGCTCCAACTCATCTGATTTGGATTAATAGCTACAGTAATTATCAGGCTTTCACAGAACACAAAGCGGTAATTAAACCATTGAATCAGGTGTGTTGGAGAAGGGAAACAATAAACCCTGCACCACTGAGGTCACAGCTCAGACAGAGTTAAGGTGACAGCAGTACAAGATTATTAAATCAGTTCTTACCACTGATTAGTGGTAAGAATCCAATAAAATCAGTAATCACTAGGAAACAGGTTTTTGACAAAAATGAGCTGTGACCTCATTGGTGCAGGGTTTATTCAGAACCCAAATGGATAATTTTGCCTCAGTTTCTGTGGTAACAAACCAGTAGTCCCCTAATAAGGCTTGGCTATTTGTTCCCCAATAAGTACTGGTTAATTACCCATTATCTCTTGATTTGTTCCTCTTTGGTTTCCAGCATAACTACCCATTAGTTCTTGATTAATTCCTCTTCATTTACAAGGTAACAAACCAGTAGTCTCCTAATAAGGCTTGGCTGTGTGTTCCCCAGTAAGTACTAGTTAACTGCCCATTAGCTCCTGATTCGTTCCTCTTTGGTTTCCTTGGTAACTACGCATTAGTTCTTGATTAGTTCCTCTTCATTTACAAGGTAACAAACCAGTAGTCCCTTATTAAGGCTTGGATGTGTGTTCCCCAGTAAGTACTGGTTAACAACCCACGAGCTCCTGATTTGTTCCTTTTTGGTTTCCAGCATAACTACCCATTAATTCTTGATTAGTTCCTCTTCATTTACAAGATAACTAACCAGTAGTCCCCTAATAAGGCTTGACAGTGTTTCCCAGTAAGTACTGGTTAACTATCCATTAGCTCCTGATTCATTCCTGAGGCGTTTCCTAGTAGTTAATCAAATTTTGTGTACCTTATTGTAAAGTGTTACCAAAAAAGGTGTTGTGTGGCAGAAAGCAAAGCAGCAAACAAAATTAATAAACTCAAAGGTTGGCAGTCAACATATGCTTAACTTGACACAGTACAATGTAACTGCACTATCAGCTACATTTTAATATCAATGACCTTTAAAGGTAAAGACTTTTTTTGGTAGAATTAATATTTGGACTCTGTTTATCATATGCTATACTAAGCTAATTGTCTACTATTGATACCATGTCTGATATCCCTCAACTTTTAAAGACCAAAGAATGGTGCTGACCCCTCTCTTTGAGGCTCAGTTGGATTTGAAGGTTCCTGACTTGGTGTTCACGCCCTCTCTGGAGTATGGGCTTGGAGACTGTTTCTTTGAGATGGTGGAGAGCCTCATCAACAATGTGTTCAGGATTACCACACTGGTACCACGACTGGCCCAGCACAGTTCCTTTCCCCACTACCAGGTACAGCTGTTTCAGTACTGAACATGTAGGCCCCAACCAACCAGAATGCTACATGGTTTCTGATCTTCTCCTCAGACTGATATGGAAGGGCTAGCTGAGCTGGCAGACATGCGTCACCTCCTCATGGAGCGCGTAAAGAGCGTCATGACAACGTGCTGTGAGTTTCGTAACTCTCTGGAGCGTTACAGCTACCTGTACATGGACGACAGGAAAGAGTTCTTGCGTCGGTTCCTTGTGTACGGGCATGTTTTAACAAACCCTGACATGGAGGCTATCGCTGACAGTGAGGTTCAAGAGAGCCCTCCCACTCTGGATGATTTCAGAGAACAGATGGACAGGTAGGTGTTAAAGTGACATCCATGTGTGTTGTTCAGATTCTTTAGGATCTATGTGAGACCTTTTTTTTTTTTTCCGTAGAATGGTGGATGTATTATGGTAGAGTCTTAGTCTGTCTGTAAACTTTATTTTGTCCTGCACATAATGTTTGAAATGTTCAAAATAATTTAACAAAACCTCATACACAAATGTACACTAGACAAAGTGTTACATACACTTTTTGTCACCACAGCTCAATGTACAAACCAAGGTCAAATACTATACAAATGTTTACTTGTTCCTGTCATTATTATAGATTGATGTATTGTTGTATACTATTTTGTTAACAGGTGTATAATGGGCCATATATGGTACTCCTTTATTTATTTATTTTGCCATGCTCTGATTTGATTTGCAGGAGTGAATACAATACATAGGTCACACGGAAATCCTTTTGCTTATCTGCAGTTTGTTTGTCCTGATGTTGTAGTTACGAGCGGCTCTATGAGGAGGTTCAGGACCTTCAGGTTGTGCATGTGTTCCATGGGTGGATGAGGGTGGATGGCAGCAGGATGAAAAGTGCTTTACTCAATATCATCAAAAAGTGGAGTTTCATGTTCAAACAACATCTGACTGATCTTGTTACCAACAGGTATGTAGTGCACCCTCAGCTAAACATGCTTTAATTGTGAGATAAAAATAGTTTAAAACAAGACAATTTTGAAGCAAATATGTGGGGAGCTAATGTACATACTGGCTAAAATTCAAAGATAAAGCTTTCTTCTCTGAAGCCTGATAGTACTTTGGGACTTAGTTTTGTAACAATCAAGCTGATAAAATGCTGGCATTTTGGTGTACAAACTGTATAAGAAGCGTTAAGAAAACCAAGCCTAAAAGAAATGTTTAAGTTGCTGCCAGTGACTCAATATGGTCGCCATCTTAATCACATATCTGTCTGTCACTCCCTGACTGCTTTTTAAAATGAAACTAGCAGACAGAAATGCAGAATAAAAATGGCTCAAACAGTCTTGAAAATTTTAATGTGTTGGAAAACCCTGTTAAAACTTTAAACGCAATTCTAATTGTGACAAATATGCAAGCTATAAAGCTCCAAATGGGGTAAGGTTTCTCATTTGTTTCACCAAAACCTCATAATTATTACCGGTAATAATAATTGTTTTTTTGTTTGTTTTTTTTTGCAGTTTGTCAATGTCATAAAATATACTTCTACCAAAAGTCAAAACACATTCCTACTTATTGAGCTGCTCATTTTGAGATATATTTTGTTTGGGTTGTACCTGAAAACAATTATCTCAGGTGTATATTTTCATTTTACCAAGGGCAATATCAAATTAAACCTTTACTAAAACCAGCCTTTGAGAATATTGGTCCTATTCCTGATTTAACTTCAGTGCCAAAGAACATCCAGATTTCATTAATAGTCTAGGATTTTGATTCATCCTTGTGTCTTGGATCTATCTGGACCCTGTTAGGTTCTGAGTCAGTTGCCTTTAACAGCTATTCTAGGTAGCGGTATAATGTTACTGATGAGCACTTTGTCACCAATATTCTGACCTTTTCTGCAATAAATGTGTTTAACTATGATTCTGGCTATCATGTGCCCTTAATATATGTAAACTGGGTTTGTTGATGTTTGTGTCCAATGGGTTTGCTCTAGCCTGTCAGATCTAGACCGATTCATTGTTGTAACTGAGACTGGCCTGAGGCAGCGGGTGCAGGACGGGGACTACAGTGGTCTGATGGAGGTCATGGGTCACTTGATGGCTGTTAAAGAAAGGCAAGACACTACAGACATCATGTTTGAGCCTCTGCAGCAAACCATCGCTCTGCTGAAGATGTATGAACAGGAACTTCCTGAAGTGGTTTATAAACAATTAGAGGTAAAGACTGATATTCCTCACTTCTTTTTGATGTTTAAAGCAGATGTATTTCAGCTTAAGCAGTCACTTCTTTCATTTTTAAATGTATGTATTCACATTACATTGTGTACTTTTTTGTCCTTCTAGCTATTTATCATCTAACAGCCATGCTTATTTTAAACTTTTCAAGATCAAATATATATATATATATATATGTATATATATATATATATATATATATTTTTTTTTTTGTAGGAGTTGCCAGAGAAGTGGAACAATGTAAAAAAACGGGCATTATCAGCTAAACAACAGGTGGCGCCGCTGCAGGCCATTGAAGTGGCCAGTCTACGGCGAAAATGTGCTTCGTTTGATGTTGAACAGCATGATTTTAGAGAACACTTCCACCACAGCGGACCTTTCAGGTAAAACCCCTCTGACCGTCTAAGCTCAGTTTATGTGGAAAAGTTTAGAAAAATTAAAGGCCTACCTGGTGGATAGCTCTTTGAGCAACATCATATTGGAGAAATGGATTTCAAATGTGACTGGAAAGCCAAGCTAATGTCTAGTCTGAACAGGGCCAAGACCATATTAAAACAACACTAGTCACAAACTTCACAGTCATTCATCATCCATCATCCATCCATCCGTCCGTCCGTCCGTCCGTCCATCCATCCATCCATCCATCCATACATACATACATACATACATACATACATACATACATACATCCATCCATCATCTTTACCTGCTTCTTTCTTTTTGGGTCACGGGGGTCACTGGTGCCCATATCTAGCAGTCACTGTGTGAGAGGCAGTGGAAACTCTGTACAGGTCTCCAGTCCATCACAGGGACACCTGGAAAGGTCTCCAGTCCATCACAGGGACAATTTGACAGGTCTCCAGTCCATCACAGGGACAATTTGACAGGTCTCCAGTCCATCACAGGGACACTTGGACAGGTCTCCAGTCCATCACAGGGACACTAGGACAGGTCTCCAGTCATCACAGGGGCACATAGAGACAAGTGAGACAAACAACCATTCACACTCTCACTCACACCTAGGGACAATTTTAGAGTTACCAATCAGCGTAACATGCATGTTTTTGGTCTGTGGAAGGAAACTGGTGTACCTGGAGACAACCCAAGCAGCACGGAGAGAACATGCAAACTCCACATAGAAAGACCCCCTGCTGAGATTTGACCTAGCAACCTTTTTGCTGAGAGGCAACAACTCTACCAACCGAGCCACAGTGCCGCCTGCACTGGTTTCCATGTGAAGACTATTTCATAGAACTTTATGGTGTTGTCAGTTTTACATCACTGGGTTATCCCAACAGAAATAATCTAATTTTCTGCAGCAAGTGCCCAAGTCTGCAGTAAATCATCTACATTGTTCTGCTGAAACTACTTGCACTTGCAATTAGCCATAAGTTTCTATGTAAATAGCTGTGCAGTACAAAACCAATATTGTTTTATGAAGGTTTTTACATGGTGTGTAGCTAAGAACTACTATAAAACTACTTGAACCTTTAGAAGTGGGGATAGAAAACTACATGTACCTAGGTAGTCTAACTGGAACCATCTAGACAGGAAGTGTAACATGGTCTGTTTACAAAAATGAACAATTTACACTTTAAAAGTACCTCTGAAATGTTTATAGATCCAAGACAATTTAGGCCAAAAGAAGCAATTAGAAGATTTTACAATCTATTCTTTCAAGAACAAGGTTCTGCTGTGGTTGTAATAAACATGAGATGGCAAGAAAACTCGTGGATTTTGTTGCAGCTTGTGACATAACGCCATTACAGAACACCAACTAGCCTCATTCATCCTTCTTTTTGTTTCGTCACTTGATAATGGAGGTGTTATCCTGAGATTCTCTAAGGCTAAATTGAATATTAACATAATGCTAATGAATTCATCGGAAGAGAGGCTTCATCAAGATATCTAATTGTCAGATTAGTTATGTGTGTAATTGGTCTCTTAATAACCTGGTGATTATTTTCCCATTAATGTCAAGGAAATTGTTGGTAATTGTCTCAGTATGGAGTTAGCATTGCAGCCTCTGCAGCCAAGTAGGCCTTGGCAGAACCAGAGCCTGTCATTACCCAAACACAAGATGATGGACTCTGTGCTAAATGTGTGTGTTATGGTGGTGTGCACTCATCTGTGTATAAGGTTTGACAGCAGGAGTCCGTACCAGATGTTGGACGAGTTTCACCAGCAGATCCAGGGCCGAGAGGCAGTGATGGCTTCCCTGCTGGAGACTGCAAGTCTATTCGAGATCACCATCTTAGAGTACAAACATCTCCAACAGTGCAGGTGAAAAGCTTCATTGGATATATTTGTTACAACTGCTTACTTTTTAAGGTCAGCGTGTCAAGATGGCTGACGTAGCTAGCTGACCTCATTGAACACAAAAAGACCATAACACATTGGAAATACCCTGCCTCCCTCTGTCTGTCTCTTTACCCATCCGCCCTTGCCTTTGGGAACATAACTTGAAAAATAAGTGAGGAACCAACTTTAATTTTAATTTGTGGCTGCATCTAGCTGGAATAAAACATCACTCTTAAAAACTGGGTTGCCATGTCACAACAGTTATGGTGGACTCCCAGACCCCCTCACATTACAAATGCTTCTGTGCCAATGCTTAAATGTACAGTTTCCTCTGATGATTGGGTTGGCTTGTGGGTTAGCTGAAAATCAGTGGTGTGCATGGCTAAATCAAAATGTTAGCTTTGCTAAACACTAATTTGCTGATTAAAATATTAGATTTGCTCACGCTAAATTGCTAAACAGATTTTTTTTTAATTTTTGGAAGCTAATACTAAAGTGCTAACATTTATGATGCAGTCTGATGGTCGCTGATGCTGTAAGACTGTAATGTGACAATGTTTTAAATAAACACAACTCCAAACGGTTCATAAATCACAAGCAAAGTGTCCATGTCCATATTTAGAGGTGAGCTTTCAGAAATTAATCTGGTCCATCAGAACCAAAGAGGCAGAGCAGAACTCTGTTGTGCTGAAGCAGAGTGATGCATTCAATGTCTGTCAGATGTCTCCCTCGTGTCATTTACTATAATGAATTAACTCACTTTGGTGGTCCTCTTTGTGGTTAACTACTTTTATGAATTCAAAAAGCGTGCAATACAAAAACCAGAATACTTTTATGAACTAACTACAAAGTTGCTGTGTGTCATCATCAATACTCTCTCAGTAATAAATTTATTTTAATTAAAGTAAACGTGAGATGTGTGAGGGTCACATCCTGCAGAGTGTGAACGTTGCAAAGCATGCTGGGTAGGAATTAAGTGTGCAATGTTTCTGACTGTTTGGTTTTGGTGGGTATCTGGCATATCGACAAATTTGGAAGATGGCGGCAGCAGTTCTGACAATTGTGAGGTTGCCTGCCTTGTATGAAGGAATGTACCAAGCGATAAGCTCTCTGACTCAGATGTTGCATGAGCTGAGTTGTAAGCTGGACATGATTTCTGAGAATCGCAGACCACTTGCGGCTCCTGGGACTCACTGGCAGGAAGGAATCAACCTTGGAGAAGGCTACAAGCTTGATCAGGCGATGTGACTACAAAATTTAGCTGTTTGGAATCACCAGTGAGATGTACCAGCAGAACTATAAAAGCAGACATGGAAATTCAAGCAGAGGCTGCCTGACCCTCACTGCCCTCGTTGGCCTCCTCATGCGGAACTGTATTATGATGTCATCAGTATGTTGCTGTTTTCTGTGCTGAGGTCATTGTTTTGCAACTTTCACACTGTGTCCCGTCTAGGACACAGTGCAAGATTAGATTTTTTTTACACCTACACTCCCCTTTGTGTTTATTTTTCCTTATCTGAAAAAAAGGGCTCCACCTCTTGATGCCGGCAGCCTCAGTAACCTCCGTCTCCCCATGTCTGTTTGTTATGTTTCTCTCTGCAGGCTGCACTGAAATGTAATTTTGTTGTGCTTCGGTGCAATGACAATGATGATAAATAAAATTGTTCCTTCCACTCGCCAGGATCCATCACTCTGCACTGCTTTGGACAAGCAAAAGAACTTAAAACAAAACCTTCCTCTGTTCTTCTTCACAGTGTAACTCCTACCAAATTGAACATCTTGTACCAAAATCATTGTTTACTTGCATTCCCTGCTCAATTCCAGACCAGATAAACACTCATCTAGAAAACTTCAAACATTCACTTTTCAAATCCTTCATTGAAGGAGGGCGTAGGCTTACTGCTGTTTATTTATTAGTTGGGTCATTTTTCTGATGACTGACTGTTCTCTTTCCTCCTCCTGTCAGACGTGAGGTTGTCCTGCTGAAAGAGCTGTGGGATATGATCTCTGTGGTGGAATCCAGCATGGCAGCATGGAGAACAACTCTCTGGAGAGAAATCAATGTAGAGAGCATGGAGCTGGATTGCAAACGCTTTTTTAAAGACATACGTGGGCTGGATAAAGAGGTGAGGAGCACAAAAGCATCAGGACCAAGTGAGAACCTGGAGCTGGACTGGGTTTTGCCATTGTAAGAAACTGTGGGCCATTCAGTCTCTGGTCTACCAACATGAAAGATGGGCGATCATGTGACTGGATGATCATTTATAAAGCATACACACCACTGAGATTAATTTTTCTTCTGTATGTTTTTCGTCACATAACTCGTTCTACAATCTTTGTGCTATTTCAACAATTCCTTTATGAAAGCATTCAGCTCATTCAGGACATTCCTTCTGGGACTTTGAAATTTGTGCAATTTTTACTTTAGAAAATTTTAGCTTTTTCAGCCATGTTTTTCTCAATGAAAATGAATGGAGCTCTTTAAAACCTTTTACTGCTCATTGTTTAATTCTTGTTCAGCTTTTCTCAGCTTCTTTCTGCTCATTTAAGCTTTTTTGTCTACTTTTGAGGTGTTTTACCTACAAATTTGTTTTCTAATTTCTGCTTTTTGTGCTTGATTCTAATCATTTCAACACTGTACGCTCCTTTCAGCCTTTTCCTGCTAATTTTGGTTGTCTCTTTTTGCGTTTTCAGCAACTTTTTTTGCAAATTTTAGCTTCTATGTGATCTATTTAGCCTCTTATTTTTCCAATTTCTGCTAAATTTGTGCTCTGTCCAGCTTTTTCTACACATTTCTGTCATATGTTTACCACTTTCCTCTTTTATTTTCCTGCTTCAGCAAATACTGTATCAGTAGTTCGCAGCTGTAGCGGTGAAACATTTTCAGCCTGGTTTCAGCTTCTTCAGCAGTTTTCAGCAAAAAATCATTCAGCAACAAGCATTCAGACTGAAGTTTCACAGGAAATGATATTTGTCTAGTTTCTCTAGTAGTTGTGTCTGTGTTGATTGTCTGTACTGTCCTGAACAACTGGATGAATTCTGATGAAACTCAAATAATCATAAACATCTACAATTCCAAAACTTCTAATCAGCCCAATCTTAAGTAGATACTAAAGCTAAATGACTTTAGCAAACACAAAAATTAAATTCTAAACTAATTCAGTCAGTTTTACAAATATGAAATTAAACTTAGTGTAAAAGTAGCTGAGAAACATTTTGATACATTTTTCAGAAATTGACAAGAACTCAATTCACATGATTTTTATAACCTAGTTTTTATATTTTTACAAATTGATCCTATGTACCTTTAAATTTTGACACAAATGGAAATGTTGACATTGGTTAAATTTAGTAATCTATAAAAACAGATTAATATATGCATATCAAACAATACACACACACATACATATACAGTATCTATCTATCTATCTATCTATCTATCTATCTATCTATCTATCTATCTATCTATCTATCTATCTATCTATATATATATATATATATATATATATGTATATATATATATATATATATATATATATATATATATATAATTTATTTATTTTACCGTGGCTTATTAAGGACAGAGTCTCCAGTTTATCTTAAGGTTGATGTTTTTCTGTTGATCTGATCTGTTTTTTTAATTCTACTCAAATTGCAAAACACTTCCAAAACCAGATCAAACCGACATCAACACGTCAGTCATTTCAACTTTTAATCTGCAATGTCTGCCATGATTCCAGAGTTGAATTTTGCATCATGTTGTGCTTCAGCTGAACTCCTGAACAGGTCCAGCTGTGAAAACACGTCTATGTGACAGAACATCAGTGTGGAGAGCCAGAGGAAACCCAAACCAAATAATTCTTTCATTATAATCAGACTTTGATTTTATGAAAATAATTTTTGTCCATGTGAACATCTGCCAGATTTCTGAGTTGGAGTGTTTTCAGCTGAATGAACACGGTCATGTGACTTCTTAGAGACAATATCTGTTTGTTGAAGTAAAAAAACTTCAAGCTAATTTTTCTGATCTCTGGTTTTGTGTGTGGCAGGTTCGAGCGTGGGATGCTTTCACAGGTCTGGACAGCAGGGTGACGAACATCCTCACCTCCCTCCGGGCTGTAGCAGAACTCCAGAACCCAGCCGTCCGAGCTCGACACTGGAACCAGCTGATGGCTGCCACTGGAGTCCACTTCAGCATTGACCAGGTTCTGAAAACAACCATGTTTCTGCAGTACCCATCAAACTGTAGTTTTATAAAAAAATTTAAAAAAAAATCCTATGAAATCTGCAAGTATTTGCTGGAGATGACTGTCAACTAATACCACATCAAACTTTTGATTGATATCTGTGAAATCGATTGTTTTACCCTGTTTTGTGTTTTCTATGATCAGCTGGCTGCAGCAGCCATCTTAAACTGCTTTGACTTCAAAAGTTAATCAATTGTAGATATCTGTCCAATGATTGATCCTGAGATCCAAAAAAGTTAACTCAGGTCCTCTGGACAGATTCTTCTTGTCGAAACATCATGATGCATGCTCAATAATCCAGGTAGAAAAATCTAAAAAAAAGTTAAATCTGGTCCTCTGGACACTCAAAAAACAAAAAGCAAAACAACAACAAAAATGTAGAAACGTTTCGTCTTTCATCCGAAAGACTTCCTCAGTCTGAGGTGCTGTGTTCAGCTCAGTCTCTTAAATAGCACCTTCTCAGAGTGGATCAACCAGTTTGCTGCTGACAACCAAAACCAGCTGATCACATGATCAAGAAGGACCATCAGCCTAACAATGGATCATTAGCACACTGATGGCTGTTTACTATTCACAGGGGGCTGAGTGATACTAGCAATAACATCATTGTAAGAGGGGGACAGTTGAAGACGAAGGCCTCCACCCCTGTTTAATGATGGACGGGTTCTCTTCACAAAGATGGCCTCCTTTACTCCTCTCTCAAACCATCGTTCCTCTCTATCCAGGATGTGAACATCTTCATCCCTGAAAGCGTGACTTCTGGTCTGCAGATGTGTTGACCGCAGGGTCCTGGCCTCATGATGTAGCTTTTCTGTGATATCAATATCAATATATCAATATCCTGATATCAGGATATTGTTTCCTGAGTTTCATTCATATCTGTCCAGTGATTCAGTCTGTGTTTTGTCAACAGACACACACCAGATAATAAAATAATGTTAATAAATCAACACCTGACATCTGAGATCCATTATGGTGTAGGACTGACATATTTTTGGCACCGGCAGCAGGAGGCCACCCTGTCCGACCTGCTGCAGCTCAATCTGCACTGCTTCGAGGACAAGGTCCGAGGGATTGTGGACAAGGCTGTCAAGGAGATGGGGATGGAGAAAGTTCTGTCTGAGCTCAACTCCACATGGACAGGTACACGCAGAAACACTCTTACACACCCAAAAAACATCTGTATCTCCACACTTCTCAGAGGTTCTGATGATGTTATCCAGCCATGCAGTTCCAGTACGAGCCCCACCACCGGAGCCGGGCGCCTCTGATCCGGACAGACGAGGAGTTGATCGAGACTCTGGAGGACAACCAGGTCCAACTACAGAACCTCATGTCCTCCAAGTACATCGCACACTTCCTGGATGAAGTGTCTTCTTGGCAGAACTGCCTGTCAGTGGCCGACTCCGTCATCGCCGTCTGGCTCGAGGTGCAGCGGACATGGAGCCACCTGGAAAGCATCTTCATCGGTTCTGAGGACATCCGCTCACAGCTGCCGGAGGTGACCCACCGAACACGGTCACAGTTATCTGCAGCTCCATATGGCAGACTGTGACCTGCAACCTTGTCATCACTACACACTCAGATAGGACAACAGCTACTTGTTAATTAGGAATCCTTCAATTAGCCCTTACCCCCGGTTCAGGAGCTCACATTGCATCGCTTTTTAATTGCTCTCATGATGGGCTGTCTGCATCTGAGTCCAGATGTTGGATATTAAACTTCTAAATCTCTCTTCTCTCTTCTGCGGACTTAAATCTGCCAACTTGGCTTCCTTGTTCAATCCTTTGCAGGACTCCAGGTGCTTTGATGGGATTGATGCTGATTTCAAAGAGCTGGCGAACGCCATGCATCAAACGCCCAATGTGGTGGAGGCCACGAACAAACCGGGCCTGTTTGGTAAACTGGAGAACATACAGAGCAGGTGAGGGCTGAGTGAAGATGTATAAGTCTGTAAGAATGTGTTTATTTTAGCATTTTAGGTAAATCCTTTTACATGTCCTGATGCATGCTCAATAATCCAGGGAGAAAAATATTTTTTGACACGGCACAGCTTTTTCTACAATTTAGCATATTTTAGTTTAGATGGCACAGCTTTTCCTGCTTTTACTTCAGTTTTTGCTTCTGTCATCACTTTAACTGAAGACCTATATTCTAACTTGTAAAAAATGGACACTCTAAGTGCTTTTGCATTTTTCCACAGGCTCTCTGTGTGTGAAAAAGCTCTGTCTGAGTACCTCGACACCAAGCGTCTGGCATTTCCAAGATTCTACTTCATCTCTTCAGCTGATTTGTTGGACATACTGTCCAACGGGACAAACCCACAGCAGGTCTGTTGCTCGTGTCTTAACGCACCTTAAACCTTTTTTTATCGCTTTTGTTAAAACACTTTGCACCACTGAAAGCTGCTAGTACCTCCTGCTGGCTTTTGTAGTATCTTTAGTATCCACATAGGGGCAGTGTTGCTCACAGGTTTCCACTCCACACAAGAAGAAATGTGTGAAGAACATGGCTGAAGATTTTTTTTAAAGGCTGGAATGCAGCAGACTTGGACCGTGACCCTCATTAAAACATTGTTAAAAAAGACATTAACTTGTCATTTATGTGGAGGATTGCAGTCGGAGTGTGAGCTTGGTGTTTGTGTGTTGGATCAGGTCCAGAAGCATCTCTCAAAGCTGTTTGACAACATGGTTAAGATACAGTTTGAAGATGATGGAAAGACTGGTGTGGGCATGTACAGCAAAGAAGAGGAGTACGTCCTGTTTCATCAGCCATGCGACTGCGGTGGACAGGTAAAATACACCATCTGTCTGATATCCCTGAAGCAGTTTGTACTCTCTAGACTGGATTAAAAGTTAAAGACACTTTCAAACCCTCTTTCATTTTCAGGGTTTAACATAGCAGGACATAATAAAACTGACCTGGTCTTTACCATATTTTTGTTTTCACTCTAACCTTCTATGTACCTCATTATTCATTAAAATAAAAATGAAACCAAAATAGAAAAGAAATGGTGGGAAAACAAATATTGCTACTTTCATATGATTTACAAGGCAGCCAGGTGATGTTTTTTATTTTATTTTATTTTATTTAACGCTTAGTTATAGGGGAGTGGTGGTGCAGAGGCTAGAGAAGGTGGGCCTGTGAATGGAAGGTCGCCGGTTCAACTCCCTGTACTGACAACACCAAAATGTGGGTGGGAAAGGTGATACACCCTCACCTGCCCCACTGTGAGCCCCTGAGCAAGGCCCCAACCCCCACCATCTGCCCCCCAGGCCCAGTAGATGGCAACTGCTCCACATAGAGGGCTGTGGTATCTCAGTGGTCTGTGGTTGTGTCAGGAAGGACATCTGGCATAAAAACAATCACCAAGACTTTGTGCAAGTTGGTTCGCTGTGGCGACCCCTGAAGAAGGAGCAGCCGAAAGAAGAAAAAATAAAATAATTAATCTTTACTTTTACATGTAGTCTCCCTGAGTGATTAGGTCTCATTTATGCGAGACCTGTTTATGTTGATCAAACTGATCATCATCAGGCTAAGGGCTCCGGGCTCAGCACTGGGAGACCCCAGGGCTGTGTGTTTAACCCCTGCTCTATAACCTCTACACACGACTGCACCCCTGCTCCCCACAGCTACACCATAGTGAAATTTGCAGACGCCACCACAGTGGTGGGGTTCATCAGTGGGGGGGATGTCTGCCTACAGGGATAAGGTGGAACAACTGGTTGCTTGTTGCAGAGGGAACAATCTGCTCCTCTCTTGTCTTGTCCATTCTGTCACTTTGCTGCTTTTGAGCATTCAGGTGTGTGCTAACACAGTGCCAGGAAGGAAAGACATCAGCAATGACAAGCAATGTACCATTACTTGTACGTCTATTGGGTATTGGTTCAGTACCATGTGGGTATACTCTTGTTTCTTAAAGTGTTGTGATACCACAGTACAAATACTTTAATGCAGCATGATGCTCACCAGCAGAGTGGAGCAGCGTCAGCTGTGTGGAGGGTAGTTCTTTGTGTGTGTACTGTCCTGATTTACACTCTTCATCAGTGGGCAACAGCAATGCACCACAGTTGTTACTAACCACCAATAAATACCAGAAGAAGAAGAAACCATGTGGAGGTATCTTAAAGTGAACGATGATGGCAAACGTAAAGCAGACGTGTCAAATGACAGTTTTGACTTTTCAACTGGACCTCATTTTAACTCATTTTCCTTCAAACCATTAGTTTGTGTTAGATTACATTGTTCAGACAGAAACTATGTTGTAGCTTCTGTGGTTTTGATTAGGTTCTTAATACAGGTCTGGGGTCCTTTGTGACAAGCCTAGAAGCATACTTATGTGGTAAACAGTGCAGTAGTTTGAGGTGGTTTCAGTGCAATCAGAGATATTTTAACACAAAGACCCTCTGAGTTTGTTTAGTTTCCATTGTGTTGGGATGTGAGTTGAGTTGACCTAATATGGTTTGGAGACTCTTGAATTTAGATTATACATTTAGTCTTTCTATATTATGAATTTGATTAAACAGAATTACTTTGTAATCTTTGAATGATTCATGCAAGTTAAATATTAATTTTATTTCTTTCATCTTTAAATTACATAGATAAAATTTATAGTGATTAGTTCTAATAAAAAGCATTTTTGGTGGCTAAAAATAATTGCTTGTAATTATTTATTTGAGGTAATTAGGTAAGATACAAATAAAATAAATCAATTTATTTATACAGACTCTTTCCAAAAAATTTGAATATCATGGAAAAATTGTTTAATATCCATAATTCCATTCAAAAAGTTAATTTTGGTAGATGATAAATTCACGGTCCACAATTTAAACAATTTCAAGTATTTCTTTGTTTATTTTTACATAATTTGGGCTTACAGGTCACGAAACCCATGAAAACAGGAATTCAAAAAATTTGAATACTGTGGAGAAATGAGCCCAAATATTGCAGGGCATGAATGTTTTAAACTGAGTGTGACACTAATCATCTACTAAACTCAAAGCACCTGCACAGTTTGGTTCAATTGTCTCAATTTGGTTCAAAATGGGTAAGACTGCATA